CACTAGTGACAGTGCACTAGTGACAGTGTACTAGCGACAGTGTACTAGCGACAGTGCACTAGCGACAGTGCACTAGTGACAGTGTACTAGCGACAGTGTACTAGTGACAGTGCACTAGTGACAGTGCACTAGTGACAGTGCACTAGCGACAGTGCACTAGCGACAGTGCACTAGTGACAGTGTACTAGCGACAGTGTACTAGTGACAGTGCACTAGTGACAGTGTACTAGCGACAGTGCACTAGTGACAGTGTACTAGCGACAGTGTACTAGTGACAGTGCACTGGTGACAGTGCACTAGTGACAGTGTACTAGCGACAGTGTACTAGTGACAGTGTACTAGTGACAGTGCACTAGTGACAGTGCACTAGTGACAGTGTACTAGTGACAGTGTACTAGTGACAGTGCACTAGTGACAGTGTACTAGTGACAGTGTACTAGCGACAGTGTACTAGCGACAGTGTACTAGTGACAGTGTACTAGTGACAGTGCACTAGTGACAGTGTACTAGTGACAGTGTACTAGTGACAGTGTACTAGTGACAGTGTACTAGCGACAGTGTACTAGTGACAGTGCACTAGTGACAGTGTACTAGTGACAGTGCACTAGCGACAGTGTACTAGCGACAGTGTACTAGTGACAGTGCACTAGTGACAGTGCACTAGTGACAGTGTACTAGTGACAGTGTACTAGTGACAGTGTACTAGCGACAGTGTACTAGTGACAGTGCACTGGTGACAGTGTACTAGTGACAGTGCACTAGTGACAGTGTACTAGTGACAGTGCACTGGTGACAGTGTACTGGTGACAGTGTACTGGTGACAGTGTACTAGTGACAGTGTACTAGCGACAGTGCACTAGTGACAGTGTACTAGTGACAGTGTACTAGTGACAGTGCACTAGTGACAGTGTACTGGTGACAGTGTACTAGTGACAGTGTACTAGCGACAGTGCACTGGTGACAGTGTACTGGTGACAGTGTACTGGTGACAGTGTACTAGTGACAGTGTACTAGTGACAGTGTACTAGCGACAGTGCACTGGTGACAGTGTACTGGTGACAGTGTACTGGTGACAGTGTACTAGTGACAGTGTACTGGTGACAGTGCACTGGTGACAGTGTACTAGCGACAGTGCACTAGTGACAGTGTACTAGTGACAGTGTACTAGTGACAGTGTACTAGCGACAGTGCACTGGTGACAGTGTACTGGTGACAGTGCACTGGTGACAGTGTACTAGTGACAGTGTACTAGTGACAGTGCACTAGCGACAGTGTACTAGTGACAGTGCACTGGTGACAGTGTACTAGTGACAGTGTACTAGTGACAGTGTACTAGTGACAGTGTACTAGTGACAGTGCACTGGTGACAGTGTACTAGCGACAGTGTACTAGCGACAGTGTACTAGCGACAGTGCACTGGTGACAGTGTACTAGTGACAGTGTACTAGCGACAGTGCACTAGCGACAGTGCACTGGTGACAGTGTACTAGCGACAGTGCACTAGTGACAGTGTACTAGTGACAGTGTACTAGTGACAGTGTACTAGTGACAGTGTACTAGCGACAGTGCACTAGTGACAGTGTACTAGTGACAGTGTACTAGTGACAGTGCACTAGTGACAGTGTACTAGTGACAGTGCACTAGCGACAGTGTACTAGTGACAGTGTACTAGTGACAGTGTACTAGCGACAGTGCACTAGCGACAGTGCACTAGTGACAGTGTACTAGTGACAGTGCACTAGCGACAGTGCACTAGCGACAGTGTACTAGCGACAGTGCACTAGTGACAGTGTACTAGTGACAGTGTACTAGTGACAGTGTACTAGTGACAGTGTACTAGCGACAGTGCACTAGTGACAGTGTACTAGTGACAGTGTACTAGTGACAGTGCACTAGTGACAGTGTACTAGTGACAGTGCACTGGTGACAGTGTACTAGTGACAGTGTACTAGTGACAGTGCACTAGCGACAGTGCACTGGTGACAGTGTACTAGCGACAGTGCACTAGTGACAGTGTACTAGTGACAGTGTACTAGTGACAGTGTACTAGTGACAGTGTACTAGTGACAGTGCACTAGTGACAGTGTACTAGTGACAGTGTACTAGTGACAGTGTACTAGTGACAGTGCACTAGCGACAGTGCACTGGTGACAGTGTACTAGCGACAGTGCACTAGTGACAGTGTACTAGTGACAGTGTACTAGTGACAGTGTACTAGTGACAGTGTACTAGTGACAGTGTACTATTGACAGTGTACTAGCGGACGTGTACTAGTGACAGTGTACTAGCGACAGTGCACTAGTGACAGTGTACTAGTGACAGTGTACTAGTGACAGTGCACTAGTGACAGTGTACTAGTGACAGTGCACTAGCGGACAGTGTACAGTGACAGTGCACTAGTGACAGTTGTACTAGCGACAGTGTACTAGTGACAGTGTACTAGTGACAGTGTACTAGTGACAGTGTACTGGGACAGTGCACTAGTGACAGTGTACTAGTGACAGTGTACTAGCGACAGTGTACTAGCGACAGTGTACTAGCGACAGTGTACCTGGTGACGTGTACTAGCGACAGGGCACTAGTGACAGTGTACTGGTGACAGTGCACTAGTGACAGTGTACTAGTGACAGTGCACTAGTGACAGTGTACTAGTGACAGTGTACTAGCGACAGTGTACTAGCGACAGT